TACATTTTTCGGGTTTGACTTTGACTCCCCAGCTCGATCGAGTTGAAGCTTGGCCGGTCGAGTTGAGGAACTCGACCGGTTGGTCGAGTGGACGGTCGAGCTGGTCTTCAAGATGGCTTCTCCCTTCTTCCTTTGCGTATCCAGTTGAGCTGCTTCCATGTGCCAAGTCCCTCCATGCTCCTCATGTCCCATATGCTCCAGAATGCTCCAAAAGACCTATTTCAAAGGACCAAACATGCATATGTATGCAAATGCAACCTAAAACTAACATGAATGCATAAGAAGAGAAAAGGAACAAGATATGATGCAAATGAAAGCTAAAACTATGCAAAAGATGCATAAAAGATGTGCTAAAACTATGTAAAATGCAAGTACATCAACACCCCCAAACTTGAACTTTGCTTGCCCTCAAGCAAACAAATAGAACAAGAAAGAGATGAGGTTTGAAAATAAGCTGATTCAACACTTAAAAACATGTCCTCAAAAGCGATTTGCTAAATGTCCAACTTAGAGATTCTAGAATGCAACAAGGTGAGAGATATTCATTAAGATTTAACCATGCTTATCAACATCAATCCCACTTCACAGTCACTCAAACAATGCATTCAAATCAGCAAATCCCTTTAACATTCATTAAGCAAAAACAGTGAACCAAAAACATGCAAGATCAATCAACTCATTTGGTTTCAAGGGTTTATGGGTTAAGAGACAAAGAGGGTCTCTTTTGTATGGTGGTTTAGTAACAGGGATCTCTCAAGAAAGTGGCTTTGCTTTGGCAGAAGGCTAAGTGTTAGAACCAAAGATGATGCAAGAACAGCAGCTCGAGCCGCCTAATCCTAACTCGATCGAGTTCAACACTTAGAGCTTTTTAGAACAAAATCCTAACTACCCTTTTTGGCATTTCGCCTTTGAAACTGAGGAGCTTTGCTCACTTTTCTTTTAAGAACTTCCTAGGGAGAGGCTTCTTGAGGTAACATCTAGCGGTTTGGGATTTTCTAAACACTTAGGGAACTTTTCTTTCCTTTTTGACACTTGAGGCTTTGCCTTCTTTTCATTCTACTTAGAACCCTTTTTACTTTCCTTTTTTAACTTCCCAAACCTTTACTAGACCCTTTTAAACACTGCCAACTCCCTGGACTTAACAAACTCTTTTTCCTTTGGTTTTTCCCAACTTTTACCACTTTTCTGGTTTTTGACACCCAACTCGATCGAGCTCGAGTTGGCACCCCCAAACTTAGCCTGAAAACAATCCCAAGAGAACTAGACAACTAGAACTACTGCCCCTGCCGGTTTAAACACAACACCTTATGCTAAGCAAAGCCAAGAAAGGTTCTCACATTCGCACAAGAGATAATATGGGGTTTGAAATGAAAAGGCTTAGGTTTAAGGTGTGGTAACTGTCTCAAAGATGGAGATCAGCTATCTGGACAAGCAAAGGGATATGAAAATAGGTAAAGAATGTCCAGATATGTATGTGGTAGCCATGAGTTGAAATCAAATGCAAGCATTGGTAATTAAAGATCAAGTTATGGTTCAAATAGATAGGGAAATGCATCAAATCACAGCAATGGTTGAATGAGATGTGCATGCAGTGATATGATCAAGATAAACATGGTTCTTGCTGCTCAATCAATCTCACCCTAATGCACAAAAGAATCTAAAAACAGGGCACTCAAGAAATCGCAAAAGATGACAAGTTTTCAAAGTCAAATCAACAATGCAAGTGAAAAATGCAATCCTAAACAAGTCTAACAAATATGAATGCAAAAAGATGAAAATATTTTTGGATTTTTTGAAAATTTTATGATTTTTTTGGTTTTTCTATGCAAAAGATAAATGAAAAACTAAGAACAAAGAAAACAAGGTTAAATCATCTCTTGAACCCTCCCCCAAACTTAAATCACACAGTCCCTTGTGTGAGAAAAATTTAGTGAAAGATTCAAGAGGGCAAAACCAAGAAAAACAAGAACAAATGCAAGAAAATATGAAATGGTATATACAAGGGTTGGTGTTTGGATACCTCAGTGTCCCCCAAAGAACTGGGAGACTAGGTCGTGGTCTGGAGATGGAGACGGCCATCAGGAGCACTCCATCAACTGGGGTTGCCTCTTGCGGCTCACTCGATCGAGCTTGTGGCTCCTCTTCCTCCTCTTCTTCATCGAAATGTGTGTGGCTCCCTTGGCCTTGGTGGAGCTGGCTTGCTCGAAGCTGTTGTAGGGGTCCATGGTCTGAGAGAAGTCCTGGTAGGCGTTGGATCGTACTCGAATCCGGATTCTCAAACAGGGGCTCCTCCAGGTCAGCTCGACCGTCAGCTCGATCGAGTTGAGTTTCCTCTGTTTGGACTCGATCGAGTCCGGTGGTCGAGCTGGAGCGTCTGGCCTTGGAAGTCTTCCTCCTTCTCTGCGTGTTGTCTTCTCCTTCCCTTGGCTCGAAAGAAGAGGCTCTGTGAGGCTCTTGGGCAGGGAGCCTCCTTGGGTGGTGAGGAGTGACCTACTCCTAGGGAAAGTAGGGGCCATGGGTGCCTTCTTCTTCTTGCTTGAAGAACCAGAAACCTTCTTCTCCAAACTCTTGATCTTGCTCACCATCTTGTCCATGGACTTTTGCATCTTTCTCATGGCTTTCCCTTGCCACTTGTTGAACTTTTGGAGAAGTCCAATCCTCTTGTGAGCAGCCACAACAGAGGGGTTCATCCTTGGAGCCTCATACTCCTCAAAGTAATAGCACTCAGGCTCACCCAAGTAGCACTTCCTGCACTCCATCTTCAGCTTGAGTCCTCAGCTCGATCCTCAGCTCGATCGAGCTCGCTCCTCTTCTCGCAAATCCCTTCATGCCCAACTAATGTGTACACAGGGGTCTGAAGTCAATGTTTGTACCTCCTAGAACCGTGGTGAGCTCAGGGTTGGGCAGAAGAAGCTTGGAGGGCCAGCCAAGGGATGGTGAACTTGAATTGGAACCTCCCATCCAACTCCTTGTGCTCAATGAGAAGGTTGGTCTTGCAAAACTTGATGTCCATCCAACCTGGTGGAGTAGACCTTCTCTTGTCCACTTGAACTCCTGCTGCACAAAGAATTGGTGTGATCACCCCTCCAACACTAAGCTTTCTTCCTCCTTGGTGCCTAGTGTTGTAAGCGTGACCTTGTAGGCTTGGAGCTGCTCAAGGAGAGGCATGAGGTTTCCTGCATGTGCCCTATCTCCTCTGATCTTCTTCCCATCCCTAGTTCGTGAGATGATAGGCTTGATTCCCATGTCAAGGAGCTTCACTTCTCCCTCATTGATTGTTCCAGTGGCTTTCCTTGCAAAGAAGGTGTTTGCAAGAGCCTTGTGGACATATCTAAGCACAGGACTTCCTGATCCATAGGTGAACCCAAACAGTATCTCAAGCTGCCTAAAGGTCACCATCTTCTTCTCTCCCTTTGAGGAAAGTTATGTACCCCCAGCCTCGGTCCAACTCAGCTCGATCGAGCTCATCAAACTCGTGATGCTTCATCGACGCCAAAAACTCACAAGTCAACTCCTTGTAAGACTCCATGCGGTGAGAGAAGAACTTCCCCAATTGCATGTTCTTGAGCACCAACTCCACATCCTCAAATATCCCAAGGTCTCTCATGGTGTCATCATGTGGGTACTTGGTCTCCACAAAGCCCATGGAGAAGAGAGCATCATAGTGCTCTTGGTACATGGGGAGCTCATCCTCCTCTTGCTCTTCCTCAACCTCTTCCATTGGCTCATCTTGGTTCCCCTCTTGTCATCTTCATCAACCAATTGGTTCACCTCTTCTCCTTCCTCTTCACTCTCAGTCTCATCTCCTTCTTCATTTGGAGAACCATTTCCCTCCTCTTGAACAAGGTTCACTCCAATCTCAAACTCCCCTTGCTCACTCTCACTACTAATAGGGTCATTCCTCTTCTTGGTTCTCCTTTCTTCCCTCAACCTCTCACTCTCAGACTGTTCCTCAGAGTACATATCCCTCTGCATCAGATTCTTCCATCCTCTGATCCATCTTCTCCAAATCGGCTTGCATCTTAAGCCTTCTTTCCCTTGCATTGCTTGATTCACCCTCAACCATTCTCCTGTGAAGCGCGACTTCCCTCACTGTTTGCCATCTCTGCTACTCTGTTTCTTCACTAAAGTACCTGAAATGCATCAAAGATTACAAAGAATTAGAGTTGTAATGATCGGTTTGGTCAACTCGACACTCAGCTCGATCGAGTCAAAAAACTCGAGTGACAAACTCGATCGAGTTGGGTGAAAACAGAGTATAACCAAACCTAATTCAAGATTAAGAGCTGGAAAGGATGCTAATCAATCAAATTGAACCAAGAGCAACTAGTGAATGGAACAATGAGCAATTCTAGTGAAAATCATAGCAACCAACCATTACCAAACTCAAATTCAATCTTTCAAGCACATGCAACAAGTTTAAAGGCAAAACAGAGGTGAGGTGAAACAAACTAACAAGATTATACAGCAGAGGCGAAATATGAGGGCAATTAATCAAGAACAAGTCCACAAGGGACACATGCAATCAAAATCAAAGAGAAAACAAGCAATGGAATATCGAGATGAAGTAATCAAGGGTTTCAAGGGTTCATACCTTGCTTGATGATGAAGAATACAGAAACAAGAACTAAAGCGAATTGAAACAAAGGTCAAAGAGAAATCGCAAAAACTTAAAAAAAGAGAGAAATCGAAATTTTCTTGTGGTGAGAGAGAGAGAGATGATTTTCAGAAATTTTAAGATTGTGGGAGAGTGGAGAGGTTGGATTCGATCGAGTTATGGGGAAGAGGGGTGTTTGAGATGTGTGGTTGAGTTAAAAGATGAAATAAAGAGGGAACAAGAAGCTAGGGATTCTCTGATCAAATTAGGGTAGTGGGGGACCAAAATCAGCTTGTGGGACCCACTCCCTTGACCAAGAAAACGGTTAGAATTTGAAATTCAAAAACTTACCTCGGTCGAGTTGTGTAGCTCGATCGAGTTGCCCTGGTTTCTAGCTCGATCGAGCTATCGGTCGAGCTGGCTCCTTTGACACCTAAACTTAACTTATTCAAAGGTTAAAAACATAAAGATAGATAGAAATTGCATAAATAGAGTATGTACAAGGATAAACATGGGACTTCCTCCCAAGTGAGCTTGTTTAAGGTCCCATAGCTTGACCTTTACCTTCTAGGCATTGGTTGAGCTAGTCCCACCATCAAGGGTGATAGTGAGGACTTGAGACAGAAGCTCCTTTAGCTTGGTTGGGTCCCTGGACTGTTCTGAAGTCACCAAGGCCTTGGCTCTAGAGAATGGCCTTGATCTCCCCTTGTACCTTATCTTGTACTCAATCTTCCCATTTTCAAACTTGGTGGGGAACAAGGTCATTGTGAGCTGAGATGGCTTGACTGAAGGGGCCTGAGCTGGTGGATCCTTTCTTTTATCACCTGGTCTTGCCTTAGAGGCTGCATCCTCCCCTTCTTTTAGAGCCCTTCCTAGTGGCTCATCAAACAAAGCTTGAAGGCTCTCTTCATCAAGCACACAAGGGGCTTGAACAAGTCTCTCAGCTCTTGGCCTATCAGATCGTGGTTTCTCAACTCTAGCCCTCTCAAGACGTGGCTTCTCAATCCTTGGTCCTCTCTCATCCTTATCCTTCCCAATTCTTGGTTCTTGTCAACCCTTTCCTTCACAACCTTTGTAGCTCCATGACTCTTAGAACTGAGAGTGGTACTGTCAATTGTTGCACAAAAGTCTGAACCTCTAGGCTGCAAGCGATATGACACCAAACTATTCACCTTGTGAAGGATCACTTCTTGCTTGTAAAAGTCAATTGAAGCGCCAACTGTACTAAGGAAAGGGGTTCCCAATAACAGAGGTAAGTCCTTCTCTTCTTCCATTTCCATCACAGTGAGATCAGTTTGGATGATGCATTCTCCAATTTTCAAGTGATAGTTCTTGAACACTCCAAGAGGAGACTTAGAAGTTGCATCTCCAAACATGATTGAAGTAGTAGGGCGCTGCAAGGCTCCAGCAATGCCTAGCTTCTCTGCCATGGAGAGAGAGATCAGATTGATGCTTGCTCCAGAATCCACTAAGGCATTGTCAATCTCAAGATGCCCAAGTGTGCAAGGGAGAGTGAATTTCCCTTGATCCTTGACCTTTGGTAGGAAGGTGAAGCTCAACTGCCGATCGAGCTTGCCGTGCGAGCTCAACTGGTGAAGTGTGAATGGCCACAGTAGGTGCATGCACTTCTGGTTGATCAATCTGGACTCCTGAAGCCTCAGCAGCAACAATCTCTTCATCATTCAGCAGTAAACAAAAGTCTTCAATGACCCTTTCTTGATCCTCTTCTTCAACAAGTCCTTCTTGAGTGAAGATGACCTTGCATTGTTCCTTGGGGTTCTGAATAGCTTTACCAGGTAGTTGTCCTTGCTTTGTAGCAGCAACAACAGAAGAAGCATGATTCTCCAGAGAGTAAACCCTTGTGTTGAGGTTCTCGATCTTAGAGTTTATTTAAGCTAGCTTCTTGCTTGTGTCCACTACCCCATCAGCTTGCCCTTGAAGTAGTTGCTTTAGCATTGCTTGAGCTCATTCTCTTGTGAAGGTGCAGGCTGGGGCGGTTGGTGGGGGAAGCCTGGTGGGATATTCATTTGTTGTCCAGGGAAAGTGCCTTGTGGTCCTTGGTAATTGTTCTTTTGTCCATACCCATGTTGTGGCACCTGACTCGATCGAGCTGCTTGTTGTTGAGGATATACTTGGTCCTGAGGGTTAGCAACATCAGTGTTGCGGTATGACATGGCAGGGTTGGACTTGTAGTTATAGTATCCTTTGTTGTAACCTCCTTGCCCATTGCTCATGTAGCATACCTCAGCAAATTGTGTATCCTCCCCTTCTTGGACTGGTTCCATCTCCTCAGCAGATACAAAATTGACTTTCTTCATTTTGGACTGAGCTAGGATCAGCTTATCCAACTTCTCATTCAATGCCTTAACATCTTTTCTCAACTTTTTGTCTAACTCGATTGAGTGGTGGGTCGAGCTCCGGGTTGTCCGATCATACTCTTCTCCATAGCTTCCATTTGAGTTAGCTATGTTCTCCACAAGTTGCCAGCCATCATCTACATCCTGGTTGAGGAAGTTCCCATTGCTAGCTGTGTCTAGCATCTCCCTATACCTAGGCAAGCATCCTCTATAAAGAGTAGAGAGTAGAGATTCATAGTTGAATCCATGGTGTGGGCACTGACTTGTGTAACCTTTGAACCTCTCCCAAGCCTCTGCGAATGTCTCATTGTTTCGCTGGATGAAGCTGGATATCTCTCCTCTAAGCTTGGCTGTGCGACCGGTGGAGAAAAACTTAGCAAGAAAGGCCTTCTTGCATTCATCCCAAGTGGTGATTGTGCCATGGGGCAAGCTCTTCTCCCATTGGTGAGATTTGTCAGCTAGAGACATAGGAAAGAGTCTCAGCTTGATGGCATCTTCAGAGACACCATTGATCTTTGTCAAGTCACAAAGCCTATCAAACTCATCAAGGTGGTCAATGGGGTCTTCACTTGGCAATCCATGGAACATCTTGTTCTGGACAAGGTTGATCATTCCCAGCTTGATCTCAAAGTTGTGGTTCTGCACTGGTGGTGGAACAATCCCTTGTCTCTGTTGGTGGCGGTTTGGAGCATCTCCTTGACCAATCGGTCGAGTTTGCCTAGCTCGACCGAGTCCATGACCCAAAGGGTTTCCATTCCCCTCTGGTACATCCATTGTATCAGCAACAAGCACCTCAGGTTCCCCTTGTACCCTCTGTGACCTCTGAACTCTCTTTCTACCCGTTGTGAAATCTAGCTCGACCAAGTCCTCAGTTGACCGACTCGATCGAGTTCGCATACACCTGCAAAAAGAGACAAAAACCCAGCAGTACAATAGAACAGGGGTGGTATAGCTTGATCGTCCAAGTGTGTTTGAAACTCAAATGCAACAAATCAGCTCGATGATTGATTTTGGTGGATGTCGAGTATGGATTGGAAGAGCGTGTTGTCTTCTCCTTCCCTTGGCTCGAAAGAAGAGGCTCTGTGAGGCTCTTGGGCAGGGAGCCTCCTTGGAGTGGTGAGAAGTGATCTACTCCTAGGGAATGTGGGGGCCTTGGACTTCTTCTTCTTGCTTGAAGAACCAGAAACCTTCTTCTCCAAACTTTTGATCTTGCTCACCATCTTGTCCATGGACTTTTGCATCTTCTCAATGGCTTTCCCTTGCCATTTGTTGAACTTTTGGAGAAGTCCAATCCTCTTGTGGCAGCCACAACAGAGGGGTTCATCCTTGGAGCCTCATACTCCTCAAAGTAATAGCACTCAGGCTCACCCAAATCCGCACTTCCTGGCTGATCTCAGCTCGATCTCAGCTCGATCCTCAGCTCGACTCAGCTCGATCGAGCTCAGGCTCCTCTTCTCGCAAATCATCCTCATGCCCAACTAATGTGTACACAGGGGGTCTGAAGTCAATGTTCTCACCCCTACTACTGTGGTGAGCTCTGGGTTAGGCAGGAGAAGCTTGGAGGTCCAGCCAATGGATGTGTGAACTTGAATTGGAACCTCCCATCCAACTCCTTGTGCTCAATGAGAAGGTTGGTCTTGCAAAACTTGATGTCCATCCAACCTGGTTCAGTGGCTCTCTATCAGTTGGGTTCACTCCAGCAGCACACAAGATAGGGTGATGAGCCCTCCAACACTTAGCGCCTCCCTCGTTGATGTCTAGTGTTGTAGGCTGTGATCTTGTAGGTAAGGAGATGTCAAGGAAAGGCATCAAGTTCCCTGTGTGATCTATCTCCCCTCTGATCCTCTTGCCATCGCTTGTGCGTGAGAGAATGGGCTTGATTCCCATGTCAAGAAACTTGAGTTCCCTCGTTGATTGGTCCCGGTGGCCTTCCTTGCAAAGAAGGTGTTGGCAAGTGCCTTGTGCACATACCTCAAGCACTGGGCTCCTGATCTGAGCAGCCTTGGACCTTGAGGAAGAGTACACTCCATCAGCGATTGTAGCCCAAACCCTTTGGAGTTCCTTTTCCTTGAAGTTCCACTTGGTACCTTCTCCATAGTTGAACCCAAACAAGATTCCAAGCTGCCTAAAGGTCACCATTCTCTTCTCTCCCTTAGCCAAGAACGTGATCCATCCCAATCCTTGGTCCAAATCAGCTCTATCTTCCTCTTCATACATGTGGTACCTCATTGAAGCTAAGAACTCGCAAGTGAGCTCCTTGTAGATTCCATGTGATAAGAGAAAACTTGGCCAAGTGCATGTTCTTGAGAAACTCCACATCCTCAAAGATTCCAAGGGCCTTCATTGTGTCAACATGTGGGTACTTGGTCTCCAAAGTCCATGGAGAAGAGAGCATTGTAGTGCTCTTGGTACATAGGGAGTTCTCATCCTCCTCTTGCTCTGTGGCTCAACCTCCTCCATGGCTCATCTTGGTTCTCTTGCTCACTTCATCAACCAATTGATTCACCTCTTCTCCTTCCTCTTCACTCTCAGTCTCATCACTTCCTTCTTCATTTGGAGAGCCATTTCCCTCCTCTTGAACAAGGTTCACTCCAATCTCAAACTCCCCTTGCTCACTCTCACTACTAATGGGGTCATTCCTCTTCTTGGTTCTCCTTTCTTCCCTCAATCTCTCACTCTCAGACTGTCTCCTCAGAGTAGACATATCCCTCTGCATCAGACTCTTCCATCCTCTGATCATCCTCTCCAAATCGGCTTGCATCTTAAGCCTTCTTTCCCTTGCATTGCTTGATTCACCCTCAACCATTCTCCTTTGTGAAGCACGACTTCCCTCACTGTTTGTCATCTTGTTACACTGTTTCTTCACTAAAGTACCTGAAATGCATCAAAGATTACAAAGAATTAGAGTTGTAATGATCGGTTTGGTCAACTCGACACTCAGCTCGATCGAGTCAAAAAACTCGAGTGACAAACTCGATCGAGCTAGGTGAAAACAGAGTATAACCGAACCTAATTCAAGTATTAAGAGCTGGAAAGGATGCTAATCAATCAAATTGAACCAAGAACAACTAGTAAATGGAACAATGAGCAATTCTAGAGAAGCACTAAGCATCTTAACCAATACCAAACTCAAATTCAATTTTCAAGCACATGCAACAAGTTTAAGGCAAAACAGAGGTGAGGTGACAAATTAACAAGATTATAAGCAGAGGCGAAATATGAGCAATTACTCAAGAACAAGTCCACAAGGGACACATGCAATCAAAAATCAAAGAGAAACAAGCAATATGAAATCGAGATGGAGGAATCAAGGGTTTTAGGGTTCATACCTTGTTGAATGATGAATTGAAGCAGTAAACAAAACCCAAGCAAAACAAGATGAAGAACAAGGAAATCGCAAAAACTTAAGAGAGAGATTGAAATCGATTTTTCTTGTGGTGAAGAGAGAGAGATGAGTTTCAGAAATTTTAGGTGTGGGAGAGTGGAGAAGTGGGTTCGATCGAGTTATGGGGAAGAGGGAGTGTTTGAGATGTGTGGTTGAGATTAAAAGATGAAATAAAGAGGGACAAAAGCTAGGGTTTTCTGATCATTTAGGGTAGTGGGGGACCAAAATCAGCTTGTGGGACCCACTCCCTTGACCAAGAAAACGGTTATGAATTTGAAATTCAAAAACTTACCTTGGTCGAGTTGTGGAACTCGATCGAGTTGCCCTGTTTCTAGCTCGATCGAGCTGTCGGTCGAGCTGGCTCCTTTGTCACCTAAACTTAACTTATTGAAAGGTTAAAACATAAAGATAGATAGAAATTGCATAAATAGAATATGTACAAGGATAAACATGGGACTTCCTCCCAAGTGAGCTTGTTTAAGGTCCCATAGCTTGACCTTTACCTTCTTAGGCATTGGTTGAGCTAGTCCCACCATCAAGGGTGATAGTGAGGACTTGAGACAGAAGCTCCTTTAGCTTGGTTGGGTCCCTGGATTGTTCTGAAGTCACCAAGGCCTTGGCTCTAGAGAATGGCCTTGATCTCCCCTTGTACCTTATCTTGTACTCAATCTTCCCATTTTCAAACTTGGTGGGGAACAAAGTCATTGTGAGCTGAGATGGCTTGAATGAAGGGGCCTGAGCTGGTGGATCTTTTCTTTTATCACCTGGTCTTGCCTTAGAGGCTACATCCTCCCCTTCTTTTAGAGCCCTTCCTAGTGGCTCATCAAACAAAGCTTGAAGGCTTTCTTCATCAAGCACACAAGGGGCTTGAACAAGTCATCAGCTCGTGGCCTATCAGAACGTGGTTTCTCAACTCTAGCCCTCTCAAGACGTGGCTTCTCAATCCTTGGTCCTCTCTCATCCTTATCCTTCCCAACTCTTGGTTCTTTGTCAACCCTTTCCTTCACAACTTTGTAGCTCCATGACTCTTAGAACTGAGATGGTACTGTCAATTGTGGCACAAAAGTCTGAACCTCTAGGCTGCAAGCGATATGACACCAAACTATTCACCTTGTGAAGGATCACTTCTTGCTTGTGAAAGTCTATTGAAGCGCCAACTGTACTAAGGAAAGGGGTTCCCAATAACAGAGGTAAATCCTTCTCTTCTTCCATTTCCATCACAGTGAGATCAGTTTGGATGATGCATTCTCCAATTTTCAAGTGATAGTTCTTGAACACTCCAAGAGGAGACTTAGAAGTTGCATCTCCAAACATGATTGAAGTAGTAGGGCGCTGCAAGGCTCCAGCAATGCCTAGCTTCTCTGCCATGAGAGAGAGATCAGATTGATGCTTGCTCCAGAATCCACTAAGGCATTGTCAATCTCAAGATGCCCAAGTGTGCAAGGGAGAGTGAATTTCCCTTGATCCTTGACCTTTGGTAGGAAGTGGTGAAGTAAGCAGGTTGAACTGATGAGTAGACTCTTGTAGGACCTCTGAAACTTTATCACTGTTGGCCATAACATCCTTGACCATTTGCATTTGATCAAATGCCTCACTCATGCTATCCATAGGAGGCAACTCAATTCCAATCCCACTGAGATCTCTTCTGAACTTGTGAATCACTTCCTTGTGACCTTGACTAAGTAGGCGAGACGAGGAAGTGGCAACCGGTTGGTAAGGATCAAGCAAAATGGCTGTCGGACAGAAGAGGTCGGACTCGATCGAGCTAGAGTTGGACTCGATCGAGCTGCCGATCGAGCTTGTTGTGCGAGCTCAACTGGTGAAGTGTGAATGGCCACAGTAGGTGCCTGCACTTCTGGTTGATCAATCTGGACTCCAGGAGCCTCAGCAGCAACAATCTCTTCATCATTCAGCAGTAAACAAAAATCTTCAATGACCCTTTCTTGATCCTCTTCTTCAACAAGTCCTTCTTGAGTGAAGATGACCTTGCACTGTTCCTTGGGGTTCTGAATAGCTTTACCAGGTAGTTGTCCTTGCTTTGTAGCAGCAGCAACAGAAGAAGCATGATTCTCCAGAGAGTAAACCCTTGTGTTGAGGTTCTCGATCTTGAGTTTATTTCAGCTAGCTTCTTGCTTGTGTCCACTACCCCATCAGCTTGCCCTTGAAGTAGTTGCTTTAGCATTGCCTTGAGCTCATTCTCTTGTGAAGGTGCAGGCTGGGGCGGTTGGTGGGGGAAGCCTGGTGGGATATTCATTTGTTGTCCAGGGAAAGTGCCTTGTGGTCCTTGGTAATTGTTCTTTTGACCATACCCATGTTGTGGCACCTGACTCGATCGAGCTGCTTGTTGTTGAGGATATACTTGGTCCTGAGGGTTAGCAACATCAGTGTTGCGGTATGACATGGCAGGGTTGGACTTGTAATTATAGTATCCTTTGTTGTAACCTCCTTGCCCATTGCTCATGTAGCACACTTCAGCAAATTGTGTATCCTCCCCTTCTTGGACTGGTTCCATCTCCTCAGCAGACACAAAGTTGACTTTCTTCATTGTGGACTGAGCTAGGATCAGCTTATCCAACTTCTCATTCAATGCCTTAACATCTTTTCTCAATTTCTCTGACTCGATCGAGTGGTGGGTCGAGCTCCGATTGGTGCGATCATACTCTTCTCCATAGCTTCCATTGAGTTAGCATGTTCTCCACAAGCTGCCAGCCATCATCTACATCCTGGTTGAGGAAGTTCCCATTGCTGCTGTGTCCAGCATCTCCCTATACCTTGCAAGCATCCTCTATAAAGAGTAGAGAGTAGTGATTCATTGTTGAATCCATGGTGTGGGCACTGACTTGTGTAGCCTTTGAACCTCTCCCAAGCCTCAGCGAATGTCTCATTGTTTCGCTGGATGAAGCTCGATATCTCTCCTAAGCTTGGCTGTGCGACCGGTGGAGAAAAACTTAGCAAGAAAGGCCTTCTTGCATTCATCCCAAGTGGTGATTGTGCCATGGGGCAAGCTCTTCTCCCATTGGTGAGCTTTGTCAGCTAGAGACATAGGAAAGAGTCTCAGCTTGATGGCATCTTCAGAGACACCATTGATCTTTGTCAAATCGCAAAGCCTATCAAACTCATCAAGGTGGTCAATGGGGTCTTCACTTGGCAATCCATGGAACATCTTGTTCTGAACAAGGTTGATCATTCCCAGCTTGATCTCAAAGTTGTGGTTCTGCACTGGTGGTGGAACAATCCCTTGTCTCTGTTGGTGGCGGTTTGGAGCATCTCCTAGACCAATCGGTCGAGTTTGCCTAGCTCGACCGAGTCCATTGCCCAAAGGGTTTCCATTCCCCTCTGGTACTTCCATTGTATCAGCAACAAGCACCTCAGGTTCCTCTTGTACCCTCTGTGACCTCTGAACCCTCTTTCTACCCGTTGTGAAGTCTAGCTCGACCAAGTCTTCTGTAGACCGACTCGATCGAGTTCGCATACACCTGCAAAAAGAGACAAAAACCCAGCAGTACAAAGAACAGGGGTGGTATAGCTTGATCGTCCAAGTGTATTTGAAACTCAAATGCAACAAAATAATCCCAAATCGGCAACGGCGCCAAATTGATGATAGGATTTGTGTGTGGGTGTGAAAGATATGAAATGAGATGTGGTGGAATGCAACAGTGGTATATGATGAGGTGGTAAGATGCAAACACAAACACAGTCAACAATTCCCTTTAACCATGATAGTGTTATAGCATAAAGGGTATCAATCCAAAATGGGTGAAATTGTCACTCTATGAGAATATGAAACAACCAGGAAGTCAAGCAAGCAGTAAATGATTGGGGGTAACACTAACAACCTATAAAATGAAATGCAATGCAATAGAAAAAAAGCAGTAGAAGCAACAGCTCGACCAAGGACTCGAGTCGAGTGGAACAAAGTACCAGCTCGATCGAGTTTAGTGGGAACAGGGTAACCGAGCTCGATCGAGCTCAACCAAGGAATGATCTCAGAAACAAGGGGTTAGCCAGTGAGAATCAAACCTTGGAGGCCATAGGATCATTGCCCAAACTAATCCATCCAACCCCTATGAACTCCATTTCGAGAGCAAGGGTTGTTGGAGCTCTTAGTGGATATTTTCCAGCGATTTCCATCACTTCCATGTGGAGAATCGCCTAATGACATACAAGCCAGGGGTAGTGGTCATGTAGCCTTAAGATTTATCCAAAAGAGAGAGAATCTAGATTAAGACCATAAGCAAGAAGGATTAAGCATATGAAACCCCTAATCTATGCCATCTCAAACCCTAATGGGTAAAGTACTCACTACTCATGAATGTAAACATAAGCAAATGCAATGAAGTAAACATCAAATGAAAGAGGAGATAAAGATGAACAACTTTTATTGAAATAGTAAAGGGCAAATACAAAACATATAATCCAGGATCTAGGATTCAAGAACACAAAGATTGGATTAAGAGTTCTAAAAAGTAAAGACAATAAATTAAAGAAAAGCTAAAACAAAAGTAATCTAAAGCTTGGTGATTTTTTCGTGGCTTTTAGCCCTTAAATACAAGAGGATTTAGGTTTAGGGTCAAAAGAAAGTCAAGGGGGAAGCAACATTTTTCGGGTTCGGATGGTCGAGTAGGTGGTCGAGCTGGTCTTCAAGATGGCTTCCTCCTTCTTCCTTCGCGTGTCCAGTTGAGCTGCGTGATGTGGAGTCAGGTTTTACCAAACTCCTAGACCTCTGCAAGTGCACAGATCGCGGAAGTATGGGTATCGAACACAAGGACTGGCTATTGAGTACACTTTGAAACTATGGATTTTGGATCAAGCTAAAACAAAAGTATGATTGAGGTTGTAATGGTGAACCGAACTAGCAAGTATAACGAGGTTGTAAATCAATAAAGGGGAAAAGCGCTAGGTCATAGGGGCTATCGCAGAGAAGCAAGCAATGATCAATGAAACAATGATAGATGAATTGATTAGGGATGTTGGGATATTAAGAACCGTCTAGAACACAGATCACGAATATAAAACCATTCCACTTTCGAGGCTCCGGCTCCTTTGTTAATCTACCTAGTCGCTAAACTTTTGGTATGTCCCTAGGTGATTAAATCAAGCTTTAGAATGAATAGGTTCTGATACAGTTCACTAGATTATAGTAGATCAACTTTCGCAGTCTAAGAAACCTAGCTTGTCAAAGAATATGTCCGGCGAATGATACAGCACTGTCGAGGCTCAAATCAACCTAAGATCGGATTACTAGATGCGCGGTAAAGCAATCAGCATTAGTTAAGTGCACAAGACGAGACAAAGACTCTAATATAATCCCTAGCTAATCATTGAAATCAAAGATCATGCAAGCAACTCATTGAATAGTAACCCTAGCAACCTAACTAGTGGATTACTCTTTTGAATATCCTGTGAAAGGTTCCTTTCCTGTATTCCACTATGAACATAGACAACATAAGGTTAGCTTCACATACACCCTGCAAGTTTAGCGAACAGTACCAACCCAACTAGTTGATGATAGGATTTGTGTGTGTATGTGAAAAGATATGAAATGAGAGTGGAATGCAATCAGTGGTATATGATGAGTGGTAAGATGCAAACACAAACACAGTCAACAATTCCCTTTAACCATGATAATGTAGTAAAAGGGTTACTCAATGAAATGCAATGCAATAAAAGTAAATAAAGCAGTGAAGTAGCAGCTCGACCAAGAGCTCGAGTCGAGTCGGAACAAAGTACCAGCTCGATCGAGTTTAGGGACGAGTTGAGACAAACAAAGCTAAAGGTGACGACTTTAACAAGATAGAGAGAGAATTAGGGTTCAAGACAGGGTTTTGCAATCAAAGGAATCTACACTTAATCAATCTAGCTCTTAAAACTCCTTGTATCAAGGCTTCTCTTGATATTGGGCTTCTCAATGCCTAGCCAACCCTTTCCCAAGGTGGAGGCTATCAACCAAGGAATGATCTCAGAAACAGGGGGTTAGCCAGTGAGAATCAAACCTTGGAGGCTATAGGATCATTGCCCAAACTAATCCATCCAACCCCTTAGACCTCTATTGTCTAGAGCAAGAGATATTGGAGCTCTTAGTGGATCTTTTCCAGCGAATGCCATCACTTTCGTGTGGGGAGTCGCCTAAGGACTTACAAGCCAGGGGTAGTGGTCATGTAGCCTTAAGATCTATCCAAAAGAGAGAGAATCTAGATTAAGACCATAAGCTAGAAGGATTAAGCATATGAAACCTCTAATCTATCCCATCTCAAACCCCAATGGGTAACTACTCACTACACATGAATGTAAACACAAGCAAATGCAATAAAAGAGACATCATAAGAAAGAGGAGATGAAATTAAACAACTTTTATTGAAATAAGCAAGTGCAAATACAAGAGAGATTATCCAGGATCTAGGATTCAAGAAGCAAGAGCTTCAAGAACACAAAGATGGGATTAGAGCTCTCAAAAGTAAAAGACAATAAATTAAAAGAAACTAAAACAAAAGTAATCTAAAGCTTGGTGGTTTTTTCGTGTTAGAACCAAGATGATGCAAGAACAGCAGCTCGAGCCGCCTAATCCTAACTCGATCGAGTTCAACACTTAGAGCTTTTTAGAACAAAATCCTAACTACCCTTTTTGGCATTTCGCCTTTGAAACTGAGGAGCTTTGCTCACTTTTCTTTTAAGAACATCCTAGGGAGAGGCTTCTTGAGGTAACATCTAGCGGTTTGGGATTTTCTAAACACTTAGGGAACTTTTCTTCCTTTTTGACACTTGAGGCTTTGCCTTCTTTTCATTCTACTTAGAACCCTTTTTACTTTCCTTTTTTAACTTCCCAAACCTTTACTAGACCCTTTTAAACACTGCCAACTCCCTGGACTTAACCAAACTCTTTTTCCTTTGGGTTTTTCCCAACTTTTACCACTTTTCTGGTTTTTACACCCAACTCGATCGAGCTCGAGTTGAAACTTAGCCTGAAAACAATCCCAAGAGAACTAGACAACTAGAACTACTGCCCTGCCGGTTTAAACACAACACCTTATGCTAAGCAAAGCCAAGAAAGGTTCTCACATTCGCACAAGAGATAAAATGGGGTTTGAAATGAAAAGGCTTAGGTTTAAGGTGTGGTAACTGTCTCAAAGATAGAGATCAGCTATCTGGACAAGCAAAGGGATATGAAAGTGATAAAGAATGTCCAGATATGTATGTGGTAGCCATGAGTTGAAATCAAATGCAAGCATTGGTAATTAAAGATCAAGTTATGGTTCAAATAGATAGGGAAATGCATCAAATCACAGCAATGGTTGAATGAGATGTGCATGCAGTGATATGATCAAGATAAACATGGTTCTTGTTGCTCAATCAATCTCACCCTAATGCACAAGAGAATCTAAAAACAGGGCACTCAAGAAATCGCAAAAGATGGACAAGTTTTCAAAGTCAAATCAACAATGCAAGTGAAAAATGCAATCCTAAACAAGTCTAACAAATATGAATGCAAAAAGATGAAAATATTTTTTTTTTTGAAAATTTTATGATTTTTTTGGTTTTTCTATGCAAAAGATAATGAAAAACTAAGAACAAAGAAAACAAGGTTAAATCATCTCTTGAACCCTCCCCCAAACTTAAATCACACAGTCCCTTGTGTGAGAAAAATTTAGTGAAAGATTCAAGAGGGCAAAACCAAGAAAAAACAAGAACAAATGCAAGAAAATATGAAATGGTATATACAAGGGTTGGTGTTTGGATACCTCAGTGTCCCCCAAAGAACTGGGAGCTAGGTCGTGGTCTGGAGATGGTAGACGGCCATCAGGAGCACTCCACTCGACTGGGTTCGGCTCACTGATCGAGCTTGCTCTTGACTCGATCGAGTGTGCCTCGAGTTGGCCACTCTTCTTCCCAAAACCTGCTCCTGTGAGACTTAGCCAAGAAAATCATTAAAATAAAAGGATAAAGCATAAATACATAAGATAGACATGGGAATTCCTCCCAAGTGAGCTTGTTTTAGGTCCTTAGCTTGACCTTCCCCTTTTAGGCCGGGGTTGGATCTTCTAGAGGAGTGATGATCGCCTCTATGGGGGTCTGATGTACTTGCATTTTACATAGTTTTAGCACATCTTTTATGCATCTTTTGCATAGTTTTAGCTTTCATTTGCATCATATCTTGTTCCTTTTCTCTTCTTATGCATTCATGTTAGTTTTAGGTTGCATTTGCATACATATGCATGTTTGGTCCTTTGAAATAGGTCTTTTGGAGCATTCTGGAGCATATGGGACACAAGGAGCATGGAGGGACTTGGCACATGGAAGCAGCTCAACTGGATACGCAAAGGAAGAAGGGAGAAGCCATCTTGAAGACCAGCTCGACCGTCCTACTCGACCAACCGGTCGAGTTCCTCAACTCGACCGGCCAAGCTTCAACTCGATCGAGCTGGGGAGTCAAAGTCAAACCCGAAAAATGTTGCTTCCCCCTTGACTTCCCTTTGACCCTAAACCTAATCCTCTTTGTATTTAAAGGCTCTAGCCACGAAAAAACCACCAAGCTTTAGATTATTTTGTTTTAGCTCTTTTAATTTATTGTACTTTTACTTTTTAGCAACCCTAATCCCATCTTTGTGTTCTTGAAGCTCTTGCTTCTTGAATCTTAGATCCTGGATAATCTCTCTTGTATTTGCACTTGCTTATTTCAATAAAAGTTGTTTAATTTCATCTCCTCTTTCTTATGATGTCTCTTTTATTGCATTTGCTTGTGTTTACATTCATGTGTAGTGAGTAGTTACCCATTGGGGTTTGAGATGGGATAGATTAGAGGTTTCATATGCTTAATCCTTCTAGCTTATGGTCTTAATCTAGATTCTCTCTCTTTTGGATAGATCTTAAGGCTACATGACCACTACCCCTGGCTTGTAAGTCCTTAGGCGACTCCCCACACGAAAGTGATGGCATTCGCTGGAAAAGATCCACTAAGAGCTCCAATATCTCTTGCTCTAGACAATAGAGGTCTAAGGGGTTGGATGGATTAGTTTGGGCAATGATCCTATAGCCTCCAAGGTTTGATTCTCACTGGCTAACCCCCTGTTTCTGAGATCATTCCTTGGTTGATAGCCTCCACCTTGGGAAAGGGTTGGCTAGGCATTGAGAAGCCCAATATCAAGAGAAGCCTTGATACAAGGAGTTTTAAGAGCTAGATTGATTAAGTGTAGATTCCTTTGATTGCAAAACCCTGTCTTGAACCCTAATTCTCTCTTTATCTTGTTAAAGTCGTCACCTTTAGCTTTGTTTGTCTCAACTCGTCCCTAAACTCGATCGAGCTGGTACTTTGCTCTGACTCGACTCGAGCTCTTGGTCGAGCTGACACTTCACTGCTTTGTTTACTTTTATTGCACTGCTTTTCATTTTTTTAGGTTGTTAGTGTTACTTCAAATCTATAACTGCTTGCTTGACTTTCTGGTTGTTTCATATTCTCAAAGAGTGACAAGTTCCCATTTTGGATTGATAACCTTTGTACTACTTCATGACTATGATGGTTAAGAGGAATTGTTGACTGTGTTTGTGTTTGCATCTTACCACATCATCATATACCACTGATTGCATTCCACTCATCTCATTTCATATCTTTTCACATCACACACAAATCCTATCAT